TACTATTAAGGCTACTTAGAAGACCTCTAAGATAGACCTCTGATTAGAATGGGCCTTGCGAGTATAAAACGTATATTCGGTGGCCTTGGGTAAAAACGTACGTACGGGATCCATAACCAAACTAGAGGAACTCGTTTGGGGATACCACCCAACCCGACAGTCAGTATCCTACTGTTCGGTTTTCTAGATTTGTACCTTAAGCAAAGGCTAGTTTAAGAGTTGGTAAATCAATCGGAATATATGTACCTTAAACTAATGACCTAGCTTAAGAGTTGGATAGAGGTACCTTAAACTAGAATTAGTTTAAGAGTTGGTAAACATCAAATAAATTGGCCTTAGACTAAGAATAGTTTAAGGATATTATTGAATGAGGATGTTGAATATGAATATATAATGACGAATGTTGAATATTGATTATTGTATATTTGAACTGAATACTCTATGCATGATATCAAATGATTTGATTATGAATTTGGATTCAATTTATGTGGATGTTCGACGCTTTAGATATGCTTACTCAGCTTCACCGCTGAGCGTGTAGTGTGTTTTATTTGCTACACGCAGGTAGGCAGAACGAGTAGTTGACATGTTCCTGGCAGCAGAAGGGGCGAGGCGATTGTGGTGGATTTATGATTTAAAATGATTAAATTAAATTGTTATGAGACATGATTTAAATTGCTTCCGCATTATGGTTAAAAACTCCGTAATTTATTACTGTTATGTATGGAATATTATTTTATGATAAATAAAGATGTTAAAATGTTTTAAATTTTTACGATTACCAAGTTAATACTTTAGTCCGAAAGGGGCTGCAGACCTGAACGGATTAGGGTGTTACAATTTGGTATCAGAGCAAATGGTTTTAAAACCGATCTTCGGATCATAATAATAATAATAATAATAATAATAAATTTACATATATGATATAGATATTTTTGGCCTAAAAAAAATCGGTCAAATCCACGACTCTCGCATCCCTCTGCTCGAGGAAGGTAATAAAAAAAAATTATTAAGTATTGAATTTGACTATATTAAATCCTTATAGATGTCAACTGCTAATTCGGAAATGATATCAAGTGTTGAATCAAGTCGCACTTTCGTACATGGTAAAAGACGAAAGAACAAACGAAATGTATATGACTCGCTGATATGTTATCAACGCGCCCATCGCTTCACACGAATAATGAAACGAAAGATTTATCTGCGCCGCAAGGCTGCATGGGAACGGGATGACCTGGAAGAGACATTCAGCATAGACTCTGCAAATAGCGTATGCGGATCGGGCGTAGAAGACCCAGCTATAGAATCGTTACGATCCAATCGAACGAATGCAAACGTTTAGAAATTTCTAGTTGTTTGTTTCAAATCCATTAATTGTATCGAATATTGTAATCCTTTGCAATTCCTGTCATGAACTCAACTACTAAAATAAAAGAATCCTAATAAAGGAATTTCTGTTATTGTAGAATGAGTCAAGAATCCGCCCACGGACAAGGCAACAATGAACACGTCAGTGTTCATACTGAAGCATCTAGTTTCACCCCTCCCGTTCAAAATGAACCCGTCAATCAACAAAATGTTGGGAATAACCCAAACGCTGGTGGTCAACCCGACCTTGTGATTCCAGCTTTTCTAGCTAATGTGTTGCAACAAATAGCCAACGCGCCAATGTTTCAACCACCTCCACCACCTCCACCACCTCCACCTCGAGTGATAACTTACAAAACGCTAAGAGATAACGGTGCAGATTTATTCCTTGGGGATCGCATCGGTGAACCCCATATTGCGTGGGACTGGATCGAGCAGACTGCCCGAGTGTTGGAAGATCTCAATGTACCCATGGACAATTATCCCAGATTGGCTTCTCAATTGCTTCGAAAGGAAGCCTACGAGTGGTGGAAGAGGACGGATGATAGTGCGGGAACCCCTAAGCCGTGGACATGGGCACATTTCGAATGGGCATTCAAGCAAGAATATATTCCGAAACGATTTAGCGTGGAAAGACGTAAGGAATTTGTTGAACTGGAACAGGGAGACATGACACTCCCTGAATATCGTCAGAAGTTTACCAAACTCGCAAAGTTTGCACCAACCTTAGTAAATACCCCAACCGATCGCATTGAGGAGTTCAGGAAGAAACTTCGACCTGACCTCAGGTCACGTGTATCCGTTCTAACCACTGTGCATTTTGCGGAGGCCTACGATCTCATTGCCAGGGCAGACAACAACTTGAGTGCTTGCATTGAGAATCTGAGGACAAATAATGTGAGCTCAAGCACTCACCGTCCCACCGGCTCTGCCTCAAAATGGAAAAGGCCCTTTCAAGAACCTAGCAATTCACATTTCTCTAAAAAGGGAAAATCTGTACAAACTCAGTCGATGGCATCCGTTGATAAGTCCAAAAAGCGGAGGTATCCAGCTTGCGAGCACTGTGGAAGGAATCACCCTGGAGAATGCTGGCTTAAGCAAGGGTTGTGTCTCGGCTGTGGAAAACCAGGACACTTTCGAAAGGAGTGCCCTACAAACCCCGGAGAACCGTATCCACCTGCCCCTGTTGTTAGTCAAGCAGCATCGACACGACCTGCACCAAGTCAACGCTCAACAGCGGGGTCTAATCCAGCCAAGAATCAGAACCAACAACAAGGACGAGCTCCTGCTCGTACATATGCAACGAAAGCACGAATTGAGGAGAACCCTGACGTCATCCAGGGTATGTTCTCCTTATTTGATACTGTCATGCATGTGTTGATAGACCCCGGATCAACTTTGTCTTATATCTGTGTACAAATGCCTGAAAAAGCTGACATAATGAAAGAACATTTAGAACAACCTATACTAGTGTCTAACCCGTTAGGACATAGTATGAGGTTAGATCATGTGTATCAAAACTG